CTTCCTTCCGGGTTCTGGGACCAGCTCAGCTTCTCTGCCCTAGGAGCTTGGGATGGCAGCGGGGGAGCTTCCTTCCGGGTTCTGGGACCAGCTCACCTTCTGTGCCCTAGGAGCTTGGGATGGCAGCGGGGGAGCTTCCTTCCAGGTTTTGGGACCGGCTAAGCTTCTGTGTCCTAGGAGCCTGGGATGGAGGCGGGGAGCTTCCTTCCGGGTGCTGGGGCCAGCTGAGCTTCTCCGACCCTAAGCTTTAATTTTTATGAGGAACTTACAGTCTTTCAGGGTTCCAACTCAAGGCAAAAGGAAGCCTTTATGTCTCATGAACACTTTAGTCAAAACCCTGACTTCTCAGCCCTGTAAGTGTATGAAAATGGTCTTGCGGCTGGGAGTATATACCTTAGTGCTTAAGTGCTTAACCAGCATGTGTGAGACCCAGGGACTGATCACTAACCCCAAGAAGGAAAAAATAAGAAAGAAAAACAAATGCTTCAAAAAGGATATAAGCCACCACCCTGGTCTACATTCCAACCTAATCCTGACCCAGGAATTCTTTATTACTTTGTTAGCTCTAAAATTTCTTATGCAGATGATTTCTGAATTTTGTCTGGCTTTTCTATTGGTCCTCTTTGGAATGCTTGGTCCAAATTATCCAGTCTGCCATTACTGGGAGCATAGAACATTGTAAGTAATTATGTGTATCAATTAATAAAAATCTTAAGGTTTAGATCAGTGCCTGCTAACTCAACTGTGGAAGTCAAATGGAGACTGTAATCAACTGGGAAAGACATGACTCATTTTAAAGGCCACTAAGTTCATTTCAACCAGATGCTGACATGAAAGCGTACAACAGCCATGTTCTGGAAAAAAGCTAGAAATGTGCATTTTTTAAAAAAACTTAAAATCTTATTTTATAACACTAGCAACCAATTCCATATTTTGTAAAATAGCATGTTAGTCAATGTTTCTCAACTCGGAGTGACTGCTCCACAGGACATCTGGCAATATCTAAAGACATTTGAAAGTCATTTTTTAATTCTAACTACGGAGGAATGTGAGAGTACTACTGGCACTGAGCTGGAAAGAAATGGAGGATGCTGCTAACCACCGTACAATGCACAACAGCCCCCCAAACAATTATCTAGCCCAAAAGGTCAACTATGCTAAAGTTGAGAAATCTTGCTACAAGCCAACATGCTACTGGGCAAACAAAACTTATTTGCAGACAGCCATTTGGCTGGGTGGCAGTAGTCCTCTAGTTTTCCTGACACCACATTGTAAATCTATATACATAATGGAAGACACTGGTACCTATGCTCTTTGTGTTCTAGCAGTTGACAGTCCCGACATGTCAATTTGTCACACGTCTCACAATAAAGCTTCAACTGCTCCTTTTTATGAAAAGGACAAAACACTGGTCGCTGACTAGTCACACCAACTGCCTCTGCAGAAACAATAGGAGGGAGGCAAAGAGATAAAATTAATACAATTATATACTAAATGATTATTCGATTTGATGTTTGCATTCAAATCCACTAACAGAAAAGTACTAGTTTCATCTACAGCCTAACTCCAGTAAGTATTTTTGGGGGGGTATCAGGGATCAAACTCATGACCTTGGGCTTGCAAGGCAGGCACAATGCCACTGAGCTAACTCCCCGGCCTTCCACTGAGTATTAAAGATATTACAGTACTAAATATTTCCAGAATTTCATAAGAAAGAGTAAATGAGCTTTTCACTTTTACATATATTTTACCAAAATTTTTTTCAAAATCTATGAATTTAATATTAAAAGCAATGTAATAGGGCCAGGCATGTAGCTCAGTGGCAGCATAACTGCCTGGCAAGCACAAGGTCCTGAGTTCAATTGCCGGTACCAGAAAAAATAAAATAAAAGCAATAATGAAAACCCAAAAATGTAAATTTCATGTAATTTTTTAAAAAAAGCTTCTTTGGTTATCTATATAACAAGCAAATATCTCAAAGGAGGTTTTCAATAAGAGTAGCAGAAGGAAGAGAGTTATAAAACATTTTGGCCCTTTCCTTGTCTCTTTACAGAGAAAAGAAGTAAAAGACAGGAAGAAAACATAACTTTTAAAAAATTTGCTCTATGGTTACAACAAATTAAGACATTAGAAGAGTTGGAAGGTAAATAAAACAAAGGTAGAAGGATTCTATACCTAATTCATGTTGACCAATATTGTAAGCAAATTCCAATTGTAATGCTGACTTCTTTATATTAAAAAAGTACATTTAGGGGCCAGAGATTTAGCTCAGCGGCACTGCGCCTGCCTCACAAGTGCAAGGTCTTGAGTTTGATCCCCAGTACCAAAAAAAAAAAGTACATTTAATGTTTACTATTGTTCAAAATTAGTCAATATAGTAAAGTACAAAACGCAGGGCCGGGGATTTAGCTTAGTGGTTCTGCTGTCTGCCTCGAAAGCGCAAGGTCCCGAGTTCAATCCCCGGTACCAAAAAGAAAAGAAAATCAGCCAGGTGTGGTGGTGCATGCCTGTAATCCCAACACTCGGGAGGCTGAGGCAGGAGGATGGCTGCAAGTTAGAGGCCAGCCTGGGCTTCATAGTGAGTTCAAGGACAGCTTGAACTACATGGCGAGACCCTGTCTCAAAAATGAAAATTCAATGACAGAAGTAAAAAGGACACGCGAGAATGGATTTATTACCTGGAGATACTTCCTCCTTTTGTCTGACAGTGTGGTCTTTTGTAAACTTCACCCTCTGATGAGCTCTAATGCATGTCTTACAAAGCCATTCAACACACTCTACACAAAACCCATTAGCTTCTGCATTGTCTTCACAGCTTGTGCATACCTAACAATTTAAAAAAGAAAACCACGACAGGTAAATTTTTGAGAAAAATGAAAAGCTTGTCACATCACTAGTCAATAGTGTTTGTAAATTTAAGCTGACATTACGTGGTAAACTATATGCACATGAACGGAAACAAGTATTAGGTACATTTTCTCGTTAGATCAATATACTAATTATTCCAGGCACTGTGCTAGGTGTTGATGCTATAATAATCAGAAAAAGCAAATAATTCTTGCCCTTATGATACTTACAGTCTCACAGATGGAGAACAGGTTCAAATCCCAGTTCCCCCACTGGCTAAATGAGTGGTCTTAGGCAGTTTTGTCATCTTTACAATGACAGCAGCAGGGCCGGGGATTTAGCTCAGTGGTATCCTGCCTGCCTCACAGGTGCAAGGTCCTGAGCTCAATCCCCGCTACCACAAAAAAACAAAACAACTAAAAAAACCCGATAACAGCACAGATTTTTCTGAGTAGTTGTAAAGATTCAATAGGTGGCAAATACACATTATTGGAAAAAATCACACTAATATGAAACTACTGAGAAAGGAGATTTTTGAGAAGTTGTAAGAGCATGATGGATAAACTGCTGTCAATGTAGTAGGGTTGGAAGGCAGGGAAAGCAAGCGGAGAGATTACCCAGGGAAAGCTGTTCCTAAAAACATCATCTTAGTAACCAAGATATGAAAGCTGAGCTAACAAACTACAAGATGAAAAGCCTTCTAGGCAGAAAGAAAAGCTGCAAGCAAGGAGAACAATGAAGAGTTAAAAGAACTCAAAAGAGGAAGTCAGGTGTGGTGGCACAAGCCTGTGATCCCAGCACGCTGAGAAGCAGAGGCAGGAGGATTGCTTTGAGTTCAAGGCCAGCCTGGGCTACATAGTGAGACCCTGTCTCAAGAAACCAAAAAACTGAAAGGAAACAAGTGTGACAGAAGTGCCGAGAGCAAGGAGGAAACTAGCAGAAGGAGCTGGTGGCAAGGCAAGCAGGGACCACATGGAGCAGGGTCCCAGACAGTGGTGATCCCTTTTTGTAGAAGTCTATTGAAAGCTTTTAAGAAAGAAAATAGCATGGCCAGATTTGCATTTTAAAATCACTTTTGTTACAATGTAGAGAGCAAGACAAACTAGGTTTTCCAGGGGCTTTGGTGAGGGTTGATGGAAGTGCAGATGAGAAGAGAATGAGTTTGGGGAGATGCAGGAAACAAAGCTCCTTTAGATGATGTACTGGGTATGGGCGGTAAGAGACAGCACCTATATTTCAATCTGCAGTTACTACGTAGAGGTGGCATATTACAGTTACTATTCTTAAGTAATTCTTGCTACCCTCTGGATTGGTTTTTTTGTTTTTTACTTTTTGAGACAGGGTCTCACTTTGTAGTGCAGACTGGCCTCAAACTTATAGCAATCCTCCTGCCTCAGTCTCCTGAGTGCTGGGATTTTAGGCATGCACCAGCACACCTGGCTAGTTTTGTTACCTTATTTGTGTCTGGGAAGAAAAACATTTTCTTTTCATTCAGAGATTGCCAAGTTCTGGTTACTTGGATAACAGGTCTATAAACAAAACCCAACATTTCTCAGATTTAATTATCTTCAACCTTTCTAATACTGTTTGATACTGCTGATGTCTGCGTCCTAGAAATCATATGGATTCTTCACTAATTTCTAATCCTCACCTCCCTGAATGTCTCTCTGGATCCTATCTACCACTCCCCTTCTTCTGATTCTAGAGATTTCTGTTGGATCTGGGAATTGACCTGATTTCCTTCCTTAGGCTTACCTATTCCCTATATAAGGATGTCACCTAAAATCTAATCTCCACAGCCGCCTACAAAAGGAATGAAGAATGTCCATATATGCTGCTCTAGTAATAAAGCAAAACTAGAAAATGAAAAGCAGGAAGTGTACGTAAATACTACTGTGTATTTAAGAAAGATGAGATGAAGGCTATTTAAAATTATGTGTAATGTTAACAATATAGGAATAAACCATAAAAGCAATTTTCCTATAAGGTGGGGAGGAAATAAGGTAGATGGGTAGATAAGACAGGGATAGAAGTTCTGTGAATATGCCCTATTTCACAGATTTTATTTTAGGAGTACCTGAATGCTTTACATGTAGTTGTACAAATATAAATTTCAAAAATTAAAATTCTAGGCTGAGGATGTAGCTCAGTCCTACATTCATCTTGGAGAACTGATACATATACATGTTCCATCTTAATCATTTTTCACTTTCATCATGCTCCCTTCTAACCCCTTTTCCACTTCCACAAAGTCTACCTCCCCATTTCTTATCATCCCTTTTTTATTTGGCTCTTATTTTGGGTTTCTCATGTAAAAGAGTATATGTGAGGCCCTGGGTCCAGGTCCTCAATACCAACAAACAAAAACTTTAAATTCCTAAATTTAAAAAAAAAATGGGGGGGCCGGGGATTTACCTCAGTGGTTCCGGCACCTGCCGCACAAGTGCAAGGTCCCGAGTTCAATCCCTGGTACCAAAAAAAAAAAAAAA